TGAAGCGCAGTATTAAATCCTCAATTATGCCAAAGTAGTAGAACCACTGAGGACCGAGAAAGCGGGGAACAGAGATAATGAACGCTTTGAAAGATTGTTTTACGTGCCTTTGCCCAAATATTTATCGTGGCCATTATTTGTGGGAAACGGACCCACTCTACCCCCGAAAATAGCCAAAGATAAACACACCATACCCATACCCGGACTTACCGTCGATGAATAAACGATTTCCTCACGCAAGAATCGATTGTCGCCGGCCTTCGAGTCAAACAATCCCCAGTCCATTTTAATGTCCCATGTGTAGGCGTAGCAGGACGAGAAGATGGCCGCCGTAATCCAGCAGTAGAACCAGGGATTCTCCTTGGACAGCGGATAGGTATCTGGAAATCAGAAGGGACAACAGATTGGTGAGTGGGACGGAGATGCACGTACCCTCCTGCCAAATATAATCTACATGAATTTTCGGTCATGAAGTCGGCACTAATTGGCACTGGACCGTAAACAGCACGCATAATGTATATATATACTCGCATATATTTGCACTTGCGGTGACGTTGTTCTAGCCTAATGAACTCACGCCCCCATAATGAATCCACTTACCCGTGGTAGTGTGATACTTGTGGGCAAATATCACCACAAAGAAGGATGTTGCATACTTCGCTGCGTTGACCAGATGCGGAAATGATTCCTTTGTGTCGCGGTATCTGCGGATGCACTGGGCGAACCGGAAGTAGGCGGGCAAGATGGCCACAATGGGATGCAGCAAAGACACATACTCCACGCAGTGACTGGCAGCTGTTATATAAACAAAACAATGGAGGTAATTTAAACATTTCGTATTCCATAATTAAGTCATTCAGCAGGACCGTTCCGGGAACTGATTTCACATTTCAAATGCTGTGGAAAATTGTTTGGTTCTTATAAGCTCATTTGGTATGCAAAATCTCGGTTACGTAGAAATGGGGAACGTTTAAACTTTGGAAATTATAATCTTTGTAAAACTTTTATCAGGTTTAAAATTGATAATAATATTTTTGATAATAAAAAAAAAAATGTTAGGTGCACTTTTAATGGATTGTAAGTATAATTTCAAGATAATCCAGAGTCCAAATGTTTTATAAGGTACACTCACCCTTTCCAGCCTTGTGCCAAGTTGGACTTCGACCGAAGAAGCAAATCAGGAAAGGAATATCCAGAAAGGCTGGCACCATACTATTTAGCTGGTCAGCCAGCCAGAAGTCGGCAAAGTTTACGAAGCAGAATGGCGCCATTATCACTCGCATCAGCACTCTTAAGGCCCAATATCGAGCCTCGTGATGGAAAGTCTTTGTGGGATTGAGCAAGAAGGCAGCCATTAAGGTGTAGAGAAACAGTGGAGCTGCATACTGCGGGATGCCCAAAGGATCGCAGAAAATATAGCTGAGCACGCAACAGGCCCAGATAACTCCGAACACCGACGCTACCTCCATGATATTCTGTTCGGACAGGTGGTTTCGGGGATCCAACTCAAAGATCAGGACGTGATTCACACCGGATGATCTCCAGCCGTAGACGTTGACGCCCCAGAGGAAGAGGCATTCGATGATGAGGAATGGAGCCCGGAACATCCTCATGCCGGCCCGCCAATTCTCTCCAAATCCGTAGAACATGGCAGCGATCACAACCGTTATGAAGAGGACGACAAAGGCGCCGGAAAAGAGACCCACTTTGAAAGTAGTCCAAGGACTTTGCTGCTCCCCCAAGGGCGGCACTCGTAATCGCTTCATCGCCCTTTGGCGATCACCTCCTTCGATGTCTTGGGTGACAGCCTGCTCCGTTTCCTGGATCAGGCGATCGATGTCCTTATTGGTGTAAAAATGAGCCGCCTCCACGTGATCCGTGCGCCAACGGGCACCATAGTCTACGCTCAGCAGCTTGTCATGCTTCTTAAGTATCTTACGGAATCCCGTGAAGTTGAGGTTCTGGTAGTTCTGGAGCAGTATGAGCCCCAGATAAAATTCGCTAAATGCCAACTTGAGATCCTGTATCTTGCGCGCCGGCACATTCTTCTTGCCCAGCGGTGTGCGCCTCTTCCAGGCGGGTAGTTTCTTCGGATGACCCATCTCCAGAGCCTCGGTTAGTTCGCTGCGCAGATTGCCGTACTTGCGAGTCGCCTCGGCCATCTTCTCCGAATAGAATGTGTTGATCTTGGCCAGCTCCTTGTCGCAGTAGTGAAAGAACTCCTCATCGAATTTGGCAAAGTATCGGGTCACCATTTCGCGCTCTACGAGCTCTGCGGATGGCGACTGTTCGATGGCTGCATACAGCATGGCTTTCATTTCCTGATGGGTGGAAAAACAGGATTTAACATTTAGTATTACACATTAAACCTTGTCATAAATAATAAAATAAATTTTTAAAGTTTGTTTTAAAGTAAATCGTTGATCTTCGATACCATAGTTTAGATAGCTAAAAAGTATAAATATTTTAAAATTAACTTGATCAGATTTTTTAAAGTTATATAAGATAACCTCTTAGAAGAACCTCTTTTGTAGAATAGATACATAGTTGATCTTTGTTACACCAGTTTACGCTGTACATAATGATCGAAATTATATTAAACCAGGGAAGATAATTATTATTGTTATTATTATTATTATGCTAAACAAAATCTATAATAAAAATTTACCTCCCTATATGCATTCAATTATATGTAATGATACATACTAAAGAAAATGGTTCCATAAAACACTTAATAGAAAAGCCCTTTAAGCATAGATCCTATGATTGTGTCCCTCACTGTATTTACATATTTCCCCTTCTTATCTCTGCCTATGTTTTGCCTGTTGTTTTCTTTCGCCCACCCACCTCACACCACCCTTTTCTGATTTGTTTACGTCCAAGGGGAGCAAAACACAGAATGCCGTTCAACAGGGCGCATGCGCGTTGAAAGCTCCGCCATTTGACAGTTGGCCAGAGCAGCTGATGGGGCACGTGACGTCACAGCTGGCAGAGTGACAGCGGGAAAAGCACACTCGTCCGTGTATCTACACGGATACAGATTTTTCCGCACCTTCGAAAGACACTTTTCGCACTCACCTCATAGTTAATGTACTGCTTTCGCCACTCGGGCGTTATGTGCGCCGTCAGGTGCTCGGCGAACTTCATCTCGGGGCTATTGGGGGGATCTCACCACTGGCTGCACTGCATCCGCATCCGGATAATTGGCGAGGACGTCGTCGCACTCCAAACGCACGTTTTCACGTAAACATCACAACTGGGCCAGAACAGCCAGGCGAAAGTTCTTGGATGGCGATGGCGATGGCGGATGGGATGGGGATGGTCCAAATGGCGGGGGTTTCGGATACGAGGTATCGAGCTTTCGATATGTAAATGGCTTCGGTTTTGTTATTGTCTGCTCTTTCCCCTCATCCGTTTTCAGTGTCAACAATAACAAAAGCGCAACACATATTCAGAAATTGATTATATTTGATTAATTTATCTAATTCAAAATTTGTCACACCAATGGAAAATCAATAATTTAGCATTATTTAATGTAATATTGGCGTTTTGAATTGACATAACATTATACTCGCATACAATTATTATTTAAGCTCACCCCAGTTGGTTAACAAAATAATTACTAAGCCGTTTTCCCAGTAGTCGGTAACGCCCATATAAAATGCAAATTAGGAACTGCTGGGCATCGGCGGAAATATAATAATTACTATAATAGAAAATAATAATAGAAAACCTGAGTGCTCTCTATTTATATAATATAGCAAATATAAGCTTGTATTACTTGAAATATTTCTAGGTTTTTATTGTTTTACTTATTGGCTTTTATCAAAGGTATCGTTCTTGGGATCGCTACTGGAGTTGGTTCGCTTGAACAGTGAAATGAACCAATGTTCTTTTAGTTATAAAGGTGTCTTTATAACTATCGATAGGAGCAAAGCATTCTCAAAATCTTTTATTTTAAGGAATAATAGAGTTAATTGCTTACAAATCTTTAATATTAAAACTATTTAATTATAACTATGACATAGTAAATTAAATAATCGCAATTATTCCTCTTAATACCTTAAATCCTTACTTTAATTCTTAAATCTAAGTAATAGACAGCTGAAAAAATGTACTACTGATACACCTTATATCTCTCTTTCTGGGTAATTGTTAACTGGAACAAAATGATTGAAAGAACTAATCACGTAAAAAGTATAAAAATTTTATTAAAACATATATGTAACAGTAAAAAAACAGAACGTTGCTGACTTTTCACGATGACAATAACAAATAAGTCCACACATTTTATACTTCTCACGATGACCATATTAAGTTCAGTTACTACAATTATTGTGTAGAATACCTTTAACCCTTCTAACTAGGCATTAAAATAAAGCAAATTATTTTGAATAGGTTGATAGGATTAACTTTTGTGATTGATACACTCTTGAAAATAAGTGGTATCGTCTCGTTATGAAAATAAAAGAAATTGCGGTAATTATCATCAGGCTACCCATTAAATATCCATTACAGCCACCGCAATCATTGACTTGCCTTTGAAGGGGAATAAATGAGCTCAGTAGTCTAAGCTTACTATATCGAATCAAGACAAGCCACAAAGAATTTCCACACCCCCATCCAATATATATATATATCATGTAGGAAGCCAGTGGAGACCTCATATAAATCGCAAAGAAAACCACAGCAAGAGCTATAAAGACCGAATTCTCGAAGAGTCGCCTGCACGAACCATAAACATTACCAGTTCCCGAGTTTATTCCGCTTATCGCAATTGACTGGGTCCCCTTCGTTTTACCCCCCGGATTGATCTGCGGGTAATGTGTTTCTGTTTTTTTTTTATATTGATTAAAGAACGGGCGGCAGTGCGGTTGTCTTTGCCTTTGCCCCCACCCGCATTGAGTCATTTACATGATCGTCCGGAAAACAGAGCACAATTGGAGAACAAATAAAAACGCTCGCGGCGAGCGAAACTTTGAGCGTTTGGGGCAGAGTTGGCTGTCAGTCGTTGATTTGCCCGCTCGCTGGCTAGACATCCAGCTCCCAGATTAAGAATATACAAACTTCCTCCCAGAACTTGGAAAAAACTTTTCAAATAGTGAAGGGGTAGATAAGAAATTGATATAAATTGAAGTCCCACTGCAGGGGATACTTCAGTTGGTCTAAGTGAATCCAAATAGCAACATGCCTTCCGATCAAGAGCCCACCGCCGAGCAGATTAGCCAAGTCAAGACTAGCATTCTTGAGAAGCTAGAGAAGGAGCCCCCAGCAGGTAAGGCTAAGGCAATAAAATCAATAGCATTTATAAACGTATAATTCCGAAACAGTGCCTTTCCATCCCACCGATCTTAAGCGCATTACCGATAGTGACCTTTGGATCTCTAAACTGTTGGAGGCATATGACCTTGATGTAGAGAAATGCATCACTAGGTTGTGGGATAACCTCGCCTGGCGCCAGAGCTTTGGAGTATATGACTTAAGCGAGTCCAACTTAAATCAGGAATACCTCAACGACGGCTCTGTCTATGTCCACAACAAGGACAAAGACGGAAACCCCTTGCTGATCCTCACCATTAACAAGCACTCGAAGAGCCGGAAACAGGAGGATCTCCTGCGTATTCTTGTTTTCTGGATTGAACGACTTCAGAGTGACAGCAAAGTGGAAAAGGTTACCCTTTTTATGGATATGACTGGCAGCGGTCTGAGCAACTTGGACCTGGACTTCATCAAGAGTATTATTGGAGTGTTTGAGACCAAATATCCCTACATTCTTAATTATATACTGGTCCATGAATTGCCTTTCTTGTTAAATGGTATGTTTTCTGCCATTCTTTTTAGTAATAATAATCATAATTTGTTCGTTTTTTGTTATTAGCTGCCTTTAAAATTGTCAAGACGTTCCTGCCCGAGAAAGCTCTGAAGATCCTGAAAGTGACCTCCAAGAAGGACATCGTCCAGTATGTGGATAAGGACAACTGCCTGAAAATTTGGGGCGGCAATGATGAATACGTTTATAAATTTGCCTAGAATTGCCTTTAACTTTGTATGATAGTGTAAATAATAATACGATATTTATTGACCGGAATTCGCCGTTTGTTTGAGCACTCCAGCGAAAAGCTTCCAAAGCTTTCGGTAGTACTTACTTCCACCCATGTATTTGGAGGTAATTGTAATGCAGGTGGTATCTCCCACACGATCACGTTCCATTGCAGCAGTAGGCGGGTGGGTGGATTGCCCTTTTGGGAGGCCCATTATAGTACCGCGGAGAACCTGGTGCTCCACATTCGATCCGCACGCCAGCCGACTGCCAACGATCGCGGCGATATATGTATCTATATCCCCCGATCGTGAATAGCCGCTGTCGACACCGTTAGTCGATTGTTCAGTTAGCCGCACACACTCGTGGAACGCACTTGGATAGCTCGCTAATTCCCGCTGTACAACCTGCCTTTTGTACCTTTACCTGTGCTTCGAGTCAATCAAATCTTATCGCAGTGAAAGTGGATTTCCGATTAGGAGTGTTGCGATAGGAACACAGTACTGGGCCCTTCGATTGGAATTGTACTTCGATGTTTAGTCTGCCCACAATTTTTGTTGAGAACGAGTGCTAAAACTAGCTGGCAGCATGGGCATCAAGGTCAAGGAGACTACTCCCCAGCATATCGAGGAGCTGCGGGAAAGATTCAACAGCAAATATGCCTCATCACCCCCAGCAGGTGAGATAATCCGAAACACTCGACGGATACAAAGTGCAACGGTCGTTAGCTGGAGGGTCTAATAAATTGTGTATGTTTCAGTTTATAGCCACGTATAATCCCATAGTTTTAGTCGATAAGGAATACAAATATAGCAGTGTTCTGTTAATAGTTTGTTTATATGATTCATTCGGTTTGACTTATTTGTAGTGCAAATTCTCCAATTAGTGAGTGAATAAATTAAACAGCCCTACCTAGCCAAACGACTCAAGTGCACTCGAATGAAAGCTTTGAACTTGAGACCTGAGCCATAGCTACCTAGAGAGCTATATATAGAAATGGCATATAGTATATGGACTTCCGTACTACTGACAATCAGTGACAAAAGGTTAAGTAGCTGAGCTGGGGCCAAAGTTTAAATCAAACCGACCGGAATATAATGAAAATACATTTAAGATTATAATATTAACTTATGAGTTTTTAAATGTTTAAAGGTTGTTTCTAAATTCCTTTAAAAAATAACTTTGCAACACACCCGAGCCAACAATTCTATGTTGTTATCAAAACCTATTTCTTATCTTCTGGAAATTTAAATTCTGGCACCTCTTAAGTAAACATGGTTAAACACCAAAAGAGCCGAGATAAGAAATAACAGTTCGTGAAAGATTGTATTGTAACTTAGGCAGAATGGTATTCCTTATGCACACTGACCTATCTCGTTAAGACAGATAAGATTCCAACAATCTCTTTATTATCTTACATGATCCGCTGCCAGCACCCTTCCATCCAACCGATCTTGATCGCATTCGCAACGATCATCTGTGGCTACAGAGATTCCTGGAAATGCATGATCTCGACATGGAGGCGTCCTTCAACAAGTTATGGGAGACCTGTGTCTGGCGCCAGTCCTATGGGGCCAACGACCTCGAACCAAGTCAGTTGAACCAAGAGTACTTGAATGAGGGATCGATTTTTGTGCACAGCAACGATGTGGATGGAAAACCCCTGTTGATATTCCGCGTTAAGCTGCATAGTAAGTCCAAAAATCTGGATGAGCTGATCCGTATCGTAGTGTACTGGGTGGAGAGAACCCAGAGACAGCAACACCTGACCCAACTGACCATATTCTTCGACATGGCTGGCACGGGATTGGCCACCATGGATCTGGACTTTGTTAGGCGCATTGTGGAGACATTTAAGCTGTACTATCCCAATACCCTGAATTACATTTTGGTATATGAGCTCGCCTGGGTGTTAAATGGTAAGGAACAAATTAACATAACAATAATATCCTTATACGTAGAATCCAATTACTGACAATACTTTATGCGATACAAATTCTGACCTAAAGCTTGTTGAATTCTAAAACCCTTTTGTATTGACTTTGCCAATTGATTTTTGCCTACCTACCATTAACCACTAACCGTGACCATGACCTTTTCTATATCCCCTTTCCTAGCTGCTTTTAAGGTCATTAAGGCCCTGCTGCCACCAAAAGCGGTCGAGATTTTGAAAATGATATCGAAAAAGGACATTGGCCAGTACATTACCAAGGACAAAAGCCTGGCCATCTGGGGTGGCGAGGATAACTACGAATTTAGCTTCGTGCCGGAGGCCAAACAGGTTACATCCAAGCCACTGGCTGCCAATGCCGGCGATGATGAGCAGTTCGCGGACGTGGACAAGAAGGTGAGTTAGGGGGTTCGAATGGGAGATACAGATACTATTGCCAGGACACCACCAACAACAGAACAAATCTCGAGCGGTATTCGGCTGTGGGGCGTGTTCCTTGTGACATGGCTGCACCCGGAAGGAGTCGGTCCTTCGGTCCCTTGGTCGCCTAATTGCTTTTTTCGAAACCTCACGCGAGCCACCTTACGGCGCTCTCTCCATAATTGATTCACATTCTTGGGACGTATTGATTTAGGGTGCGCTGTTTGCGTGTCCTGCGTGAGTCCCCAACTGACCACTAAGCTTACCTAAGCGAGGGTCTGACCCATTACACTCAGGGATTAAAAGCGAAAGATTAAAAAAATATATTTTTAGTTTAAATACTTGAAATCGGAACTATATTACTAGTAATACTTTTCATATTCATTATGTGTCCATGTTAAATTTGTAAATCATTTGGAGTTATATTTTCATTTCAAAACCTTTTATTATACTTGTGACAATAATTGTATACTTTTGATACTTTTTTAATGTATTTTTTATTGTATTGAAAAAACAATCAAAAACTAGACAACTATAAACAAAACTTTTGATAATATTTTTTAACATTATGGGTGTCACTTTTACCCCATACATACACTTGAACTTCAGATAGCCAGGGAATGCATTAAGAAAACATTTCTCCATTTCTATGGAATTTCAATTTTATTTTTAATTTTATCATTTTTCACACTTTGATGATTTTTTCTCAGTGCATCTGCTCGTTTCCCCCGCAGCAGTCTGTGGGCAGAACATTACGACCGCTATTTATAGTCTTTTATTTGACATATTGCTAAACTTTCGGTTTCTGGCTTGGGTCAGTGGCTAGCGGTCAGTTCGAGGCCCGAAGCGTTGACCCGAAAAAAGTAGAACACCCATTGTCACAGGGATTATAACATGTTCTGTGTGTGCGTACTTGTATCGTATGTGTAAATGATTCCCAGAGCGAATATTATCCGGCGACTCGAGCATTTCACCCACACCCACTCGAGAGCACACACCCACACACAACCACAACAGCACACCCACTCTCTGTTATCACACCCACACGACGTCATCATCTAATGCAACGGCACTTTCATTTACAGTTTCAGTTCATTTTGCGGGCCGGACCAGGCCAAACAACAACAGCTGGAAGAAGTTGATCGAGCAAAAAGCTCGAAGAGAGAGCAGCGGGAGAACCAAAAGCTCATCGCTTTTCGGTTGTGCTTTTTATTTAATTCACTTGAATTTCCACACTCGCGCGAACTAGTCACTAAAACCCCATAAAGCAACCTCATTTTACGTTCGTTGTTTGTGTTCCAAACTTGTGCTAATCGTCATGGACATTTCGCATCTTTAATTGTTATTTTATATTAACAAATAAGCGGCGAGACAAAGGAGAAAAGAGAAATCGGAGAGCGGAAGCTGAGGCTGCATTGTTATTATACCAATTTGATATTCATTCCTCGAACAAAATGCCCAGGGTATGTGTGTGTGCGTAGTAAGTGTTTTGTGTAAGGTGTTCATACTCATTGAATTGTGCTCAAGAAAACTGTGTCAATCCTTCAAGAACCAATAAATCATTAATAAACCATTGAAAACCCCAAGTATTTACTTCTAATCAGACTTTATCCGGTTTATTATACTGAAAGTTGACTGTGATCATGATCATGTGTGCGTTACGTGGAAGCCCAAACAAAAGCACAACAAACCCGAAACGGATCGAATTGACTAGACGATTACTTCACCTTGCATATTTGTCTTTGTGCTAAAATGACAACTGTTGTTTATTCAGTTTAAATTAAAGAGAATTTGTTGTTTTGTGTCCGTTCGAGGTTTCAGCTGTGAAAGTGAACCAGTAAACTGGTTCCAGAAGGCTTAAGCCCAGATTAAAGGGCAAGTTAAAAGTTTTAAAAAGTGTAACGTTAAATGGTAAAAAATACGGAAAAGTGCAGTATAAATCATGAAAAAACGTTTTAAAGAAGTTTCGAGCTAGTTGAACCTAATAATATCGGTTTTAAAGGCGAGCCCAACCCTTTTTACGAGAATACAGTTTTGTTCATTTAATAATATTCAAAACGGAATTAAAGCGCTAACGCGTTTTGAGAATTCCCTAATGCGAAGCAGGGTAATCCACCGTTTCAGGGTTGCCAGCTGTTTTTATTGTGGTGGCTGCAAAACTAATCTCCAAGGGTCTAAAAGTCCGGCTTTGGCTATATGCTATAGGTTTTATATCTCAAGTCACAATACGGCTATAAACTCTCTGTGGAAACTGACGAATGTGACCGATGTCTGAGCCCGGGCGTTTCAATTACGTGAGTTAGAGATTACATCCGAAGGGCAGCGATAAGGGCGGATAAAACACCCAGATGAAACTCGTAATTGCAATGCAGACGAGATTTAAAAGACCCGCAGCAGACAACCCACATCCGGCTGAAAACCAAATCAAAGCAACTCGCCAAGCGACCTCCGGTACAAGTGGAACCTTCGCCAATAATGCCAGCTCAAGGGGGCCAAGAATAGTGGGGCGGCCCTTGTGAAAATGGCACACAAAAGCACGTTCGGAGGGGGCTGATTAAGAGGGCGGCGCCAAACTATCCTCTACCCACCAGAATAGACGGTCATTTGAACGAGTTCTCTTTAATCGACAGGTCACCTTTGCCAATACCGCTCCCTTGGTCCTCAAGGAGTCCAACATCAACGAGATGCATACTCCATCCGAGGGTAAGAAATCACCCCATAGGTTTTTAAAAACCCCTACATCTATCTATCTGCACTGCTCATTATGTCACAAATATACACATATCGTAGCATCAAGTCGCCTCATTTTAATTCGTTATCCCAATTAAACAAAATTTTTTGGTCCCCACCAAAATTGAAAATATTCTAAAAGTCCCTACTAATACCAAGAGGGGGCCCTTATATTGCTTTCCTTGACTAGGCATGTTGCATATTAATCCCAAGGAGTTTGTCAACTTTAATTCCAAGAATGCGGAGGCCACGCTGAACCTCAAGTCGATAGCCACCTCGGCCGTGACTTACAAGGTGGGTGAATCCTCTACAGATCCCTCACATTCCAGACTAACTTTTGCAACCTTTGCAGATCCAAACCACATCGCCGGAAAAGTTCCGTGTGCGACCACGTTGCGGCATTATCCAACCCAACCAGGAGGCCTCCATTAATATATGGCTGAAGTCGGAGCACCAGCTGAGTGGCGAGAGCAAGGACAAGTTCCTGGTGATGGCCATGTTAGCGCCGGGCGGTGAATGTGGCGGCTCCGATGTGGCCGAGCTGTGGCGAAACAAATCTCCCTCGGCGGTGGATGTGGAGCAGCATCGGTTGGTCTGCCGCTTCGATGAGAACAAACCCAAAGCGCAACCGGATTGCGCAGCCAAGGCCAGTAAGGCCAGTGTGGACTGCAAGAAGTCCGCTGTTGTGAGTCCCCCTACTGCATTTAAAGCCTTGAATGTATTAAGTAATCCATCCTAATTCCAGGGACATGACCCGGCCTCGGCGATGGAGCGCCAGTTGGCGTTCACCCAGAATCTGCAATACGTGACGCTGGCGCTACTGTTGCTGCTGTTCGCGGGCTTCGGGTTTCTGATGTACCAGCAGTTGGGACACCACGCCTCTACCTGCCCCAAGGCGACGGCGTATTCGTGCGCCAAGCGCAAATAATATTTACTTTCACCGTGTAATCTGACCAGGCAGGAGCTGAACGATGCCGCTCGCAAAGGCCACAATAATAACGATCACGACTGCGACTGCCCAGAGCTGGAGAGCTGCGCTTGTGCTTTTGATTTGATGGATATGGGTCTGGATTGCGCCGATACGATGGACCAATTTGACGGCGACTGTCTTGAGGCTCTGATCCAGACGCATCTGCAGCTGTGTCGCAGCTGCCAAGGCATCGGCGACCGGCAGCTGGGCGGCGTTGCTGCCGGCGGGCATCTGCTGGGACTGATCGCCTTCGCAAGGAAGCTGGTGCGCGTCGTCCTTTCGCTATCGCTGCTGTGCGGCATCCTGTTCGTGAGCTTCTACCTGGGCAGCAACTACGGCGGAAACTGCACCACCACCACTACCATCACCACCTCCCTAGCCACAGTCGACTCAGGCAGAGGCAATCGTCAGCCGTGTTACTACTCGTAGTCAAGCCAAAACCCACACCTATATAAGCCAGGGTGGTTCGATTTGTTCACCAGAAATTGCAATTTATACCATTCTGTATGTCTAAGCTCCATTTCGACCCTTGCCAGGTATTTTACAGTGCAAGTAGGGAAATATTAAATCTTTTATACCTACTTCAAAGGCCTGCATGAAATTAGACTGGTTTTTCTTTCCAAGAGGACGAAGACGTAAACATCAAATTATATCTAGTTTCTTCAAATTGTGAACATATACCCTCGCTTTTGAAAATATTTCCATTTTGTGTCCCTACGAATCGAGCCACCCTTAAAATATACACATTTATAAAGACATATTTAGATCTATGTTAAGAGTAACAATTTCGTGTTTCTTGATATTGTTTCGAGTTTCAAGTAAATGGTATCCCATGCTTACTGCCCAACCCTTTGTAGCTTTTTGTCGGCTAGCTCCCATTCCTCCCCGCCTGAGCCAAGAATTTCTAGTACACTGTGAGTAGGATATATATTTGTAAATTATTTAAACAAACAACCGATGGTCTTATGTCGGGTTCAAGTTGATTAGTTTGTAAATAAATCTCAATTAAAGCCTTGTCACACTATGTAGGGTTACCTAACGAGTGAGGCAATATCCCGATTACTCCAAAAAAAAAGTGTTTACACTGGGTATAATGAATGTGTTCATTTAGCTTAAAGTATACAAATAATAAATTCTGAGTCGTACCGGAATTTAATCCCATCCCAATACCGAACAACTAACCAAGATCCTACTTTTCCCCACCTCTAGTTGCATATGCAAAACCTGTAATAACACAGGTTTAAGCCAATAACCACATAACTCCGCCCTAGTGTAAATAGGCTTTTAGTTTAATTTTGCGTTAAAATACAAATTTACTACGACTTCGTATTTCAAGCGAATGTAATTAATAAACATTTAGTTGGGTTGATAAAGAAGTTTTTATCGTTAGGCATACTTGTAAGATTTAAGCGGGCATCTCTTTATCAAAATAATAAGAACTTAACAGGATTCAATTAACGTATAATAGGCAAAACTTCCGATCTATCTTACGAATCCTTAAGCGTTAGATAAGCGTACGGGTTTGTAACTTAATGCGACCAAAAACAAAGTGGGAAAAGTCAGCGTTTGTATACCTATTCTTATGTCTTTTTGCCGCCTCGCTTAACAGCCGGCTTCTTGGCCTTCTTGGGAGTCGGAGCCGGAGTGGGCTCCTCTTCAGCCTCCTCGACGGCATCATCTTGCGGCGGAGTCTTGTTCTTTTTACTGCTGCTGCTGCTGCCAGACGCCTTCGCCGGCACATTTTCCTTCTGCTCCAGTTTATCCGGCTTTTCGCCCTCCTTGTCGGCATCATCCTGCGGAGGTGTCTTGTCCTTTTTATTGCTGCCGGAAGCCTTCACCGGCACATTCTCTTTCTGCTCCTGTTTATCCGCCTGGACCAAAAAGATTGCGTGCTGGCCACCGCCGGATGCGAGCAGCATGTGCTTGTTCTGTGTGTTCTTGCTGACGACCACGACCGGTTCGAGTTCATCGTCGCCATCGCCAACGCCCAGTTGATTGTTGACGCCGGAGCCCCAGGAATACAGTTTGCCATCCTCGCTGATGGCATAGGAACAGATTTCGCCGCAGCCCACGGCCACAATCCGGTCAGTCAACTTCTTCACAAGCGCAGGCTTCTCCACAACATCCTTGACATCCCCCAGGCCCAGGCGTCCGTACTCCGGACGACCCACCACCGAGCACTTGAGGTCCGTGGTCAGGACGACAGTGTGATGCTGTCCGCCGGCAATATGCTGGATATCCTTAAGTTCAGTCCTGATGGGCGTCAGTGCGAACTCCTTGCCCTTCGTCTCGTGAGCCAGCTGCTTAAAATTGTTCAACCCCGTGGCCCAGATGACCTGCGTCTGCGATTCACGCATGAATGTGCAGTAGTTGGTGGCCCATATGGCCTCGAAGGGTTTGGCCCGCGTGATGAAGACCTGGGTGGGCCGCAGCAAATCGCGCTTGCCACGGCGACCTACAAAATAATATAGTTTAGTAAGGATGCCTTTGTCAGCGTATTGACCAAGACTTACTCTCTCCGGAGATGGAACGTTCCGAGAGCCGGCCCAGTTGGCCCTGCTCGGCACAGCCCACGGTGAAGACCTTGCCCGCGGTGGTCAGGATGACCAGGTGATCGGAGCCGGAGGCGATGCTGCAGCAGACAGTGCCCTCCATTAGATCGATGGGCGTACGCTTGTTCCCATCGATGGTAAGGCCCATGTTGCCGTGAGAGTCCCTGAACGAACCCCAAGCGAAGACGCGACCATCCTCCAGCAGGCAAGCGGAATGAGAATCGCCCGCCGAAATGCACAAAGCCTTGCCGGGCAAGTCGATTTGTCCTGGCTTGGCTTCGCTGCCATCCTCGCTGGTGTCGCGACCCAGAGCTCCTTCATCATTGCACCCAAAGGAGTAGATGTCTCCTGTTTTGGTCAGCACAAGGTTGTGCATGCCACCGGCGGAGATGTCCACGGGATCCGGGATTCCAGCCACCGGGCTGAGACGCTTGCGCTCCAGGATGTCCTCGCCGAGACCAAGCTGTCCCACATCCCCGTTGCCGCAGACCAGCACGTTGCCCAGAATGGTCCTCCGTTTGGGCAGCTCCAGATGAAAAGCGATCCTGGCTCGCTTCGCCTTTGGCGGCTGCTGCTCCGACTCTCCGGCATTATTGTTGTTCGTCAGGGCCTTTCTGCGCGGCATTTTATCTTGTATTTTCACAATTTTTGTCTCCGAAACTGGGAAAAATGTGTATTTAATATATAAGGTTAGGGACGCCGATGATGCCGTCGATGGTTTCTTGCACTCACAATGGAAATAATGCCGGTCTTTGGTTCTGCGGGAGTTCCACGTTGTCTGGATGGTGTTGCTACGGAGGTTTTTCGGCGAGTGAAAACACGGAATGCAAGCCAAACAGATTTCGACCTACCTGGGTCGAAGAAAATGCGCGGGAAGCGGCGGCAGCTGGCCTTCGGTGAGCAGTGATGCCCATTCAACTTTTTTACCGGCAAATCTGGCATTTATCAGAGTCAATCGACGCAAAACAATCGACAACAGCGGGCAGCGGGAAAACTAGCCTTTTTTAATTTTAGTTTTTAAGTTTGACTTGTTTAACAAGTATACGTCGATATTACATCCATGAGCCTTAGTCGATGAAATTACATTAGTAGGATGGAATAAAATTTAAGAAGAGAAAACATTTTCGAATGGGCCTTACAATACAAAGACAGGAGCCATGTGTTTGCTATTGTGCTCTCATTTTTCATCCAAGGCGGAAGTGATGATTTCATTAGTCAGCTTTTTCTAGTTTTTCAGATTTTTAATAGTTGATTGTACCGTTTTTCCATACAAATCTGACAGCACTGACCGATTAAAATACATAAAAATAAATACCAAATACCAATATACCAGGTACAGTATTCTAAACAAGCGTAGAGTGCTTATCGGAAGGGTGGAATTTAGAATTTAAATTTTGTCCTTTTTGGGCGCGTATTTCAAAAATGAAAATAAATAAGAATGTCGCAGAGCAGTGGTCAAAACTCTGAACCAGCCCATACAAAAAGGACTGTCAAATTAAATTTACAAGAATGCCGCTTACAAAGCGTGTTCCAAAATTCGCTCCGTTTGGGAGGCATATTAAAAATACCGTCACAGGGGTAAATGCTTCTTTGATTTTAACTTAACTAGATTGTTTATTTCGATAAAATTAAAACTGATGCAGTACACAAAATATTCAGTAACATCTTTGTTGTATATTCATCTGAGATAGTACAAACCGCTTTCTATTAATAACACTTAATTTGACTGATTTTTATGATTAAGAAAATGAACTATATCTTTGTGGAAGGAGTTAAGCTCTAGCAGAGCTTCTTTCATCACCTGCAGCTTTTCTCGCTCGATAATCAGTTTCTCCTCTTCTATTTGAAGGATTCTCTCTGAATGGCTAATAGCTATCTTCGTTTGGGTGCGATATTTTGAGATGGGTGACGGGGATCTTTGTTCCAGCGGTTCATCCTCCTCTTCTTCTGGCATGTCTGGGATAATTGGCGACGGAGACCGCGCTCTCTTCCTCTTTTCCTTCGTGTCCAATTGAATTTCGGGTTCATCCCGAAGATCTTCAGCCATGGAATCATCATTCATCGAAGCCATTTCCTCATTCTCAGATTCCCCATTGCTGAACAGCGCTTGTTCTGTAAGCAGAATTTGTAAATAAAGAGTCGCTTGTTTCTTACTATATAGGTTTACCTGGATCATCGATCATTATATCCTCAAACACATTTACGGCTTTAGTGCCAATTAGGAGTGCCTGAAGTCTGTGGAAGTATTCCCACTTGGATGGAACTCCAGATTCACGGACTCTCTCAGCTTCTATACTGCAAAAGAATGTGTAAAAATTAAAAAAATGTTACCTTTAAACCTTAAAGCCTGTAAACTTACCGATACTTTCGCGACATATTGTCCATTTTGGTTTTGACTTCCGTGTGACTCGGCCCAAACTGGCTCATCTCCTTGGCCATCTGCCGGTAGATAAGGATGTTCTTTGCCTCGCCGCGGAAGTCCTTTATATGTTGCGCCCAAACTTGCAATAACATTCTTTCGGCATCCTTTTTCCACACGTGACGATCCGTTTTCGTGTAAAAATCCTCAAATTTCTCTTTAGTTTGTTTTTTGGTAATATGGGTTCGAACGACTGGTTCAGCGGATTTTTGCAACTCGGTAGTCTTTGATACTCGTGGAGCTGGCGGCTTCTCCTCCTCATTACCAAGCAGGGCGTGCAGGGGTCTCTTTAAGCGTGGTTCTGCCTTTCGACGTTCCGTCGTCACCTTATGAAATTAACAAGTTTGTTTATTTTTGTGCTTTACTCTGATCAACAAAGAGGATGTGATATAATATAATCTTTAAGGCATCCTTTTTTGTCTGAATATTAGGAGTTGCAATGGAAATGTCGTATATTCTGCCAGCCCAAAGTCGGTCACACTTCATTAGAATTCTAGATTATATACCCTCAAACCATCATTATCTGGTCATTGCGGAAGTCATAGTGCAACCAACAGCTTAATCATCCGCGCAATAAATTAAAATACAAAACATTACATATAAATATTTAGTAAATATACTTCTGAATCTATTGAAGTATGGAAAAAGACTGCGGATTATGGTAAATATCTTAACATATAACCGTAAGATGTAATTTTTGTAAATCCGAGAAGTAATCTCATCTTATTTCCAGGGCGCATAGAGGATCTGCACTGCGTAAAAGAGGGCTTTTTTCGGATATTATTATTCGAGTTGAAAACTCCGCCTTCCAATGCCACAAAATAGTTTTGGCCTCGGCATCCGAGTTTTTTGAAATATTATTACAGAAAGAGGGTTTAAATACGGGGGAAGTGATATTGCAGGATGCAACACCACAAGTTTTTGAAATATTTCTTGATTTCATATACACAAAAGATAAATGTCCATTGAAGCAAACCAAACCATACTTATTGCTGTCTCTTTTAAAGTGTGCAAATATGTGGCTGGCATGCGAAGTTCAGCAAGTATGTGAATCAATTTTCTTAGAAAGTCGTATGGAACCAAAGCAATGGATTCAACTTTATGCCGTATCATTTCTTCTGGACAATAAATCGTTAATGTCGCACGCCGTTGGGGTAAGATTGTTTAGCAATCTAATCATTAATTTTGTGCTAATGATAGGCTTTAACCCTTACAGATATTACAACGCCATAACCATTTCGACTGTCCGGAATTTATGGAATTGGAAATGGACTGCTTTGTAGAGTATTTTTCGTGTACGAAAGGTTTGGATCAATTGAAGCGCTTTACTATGTTAGATATGTGGATACAAAAAAATATTCCAAAAGAACATAGGGTTTTACACATGAATAATGGGAAAATTGTGCAAAAACGTAATCCAAGTTCAACCACATCGGATCACGATAAGATTACTGTTCTTTTGGATAGCATTGACTTTGAGAGAATGTCTTTGGATGATTTTTATACAGGCCCTGCAAAGTCAAATCTTTTGACGGAATCTGCCAAAATTGAATTAATGTATAAAATGGCCAAAAAAAGAGGCCCCGCTCAATTGCATATATCGAGATGCAATGGGTTCCAATCGAGATGCAATGGGTTCCAACATTCTTAAAATTAAAAGCTAGCTTTCTTTCTGATTTCTCTTTAAAAAAAAACAATAAAAGAGATTATTTTGCCCGAAGAAAATTATTGCTACACTTGTGTTTTAATATACTATACTGTATAAGACACAATTTTCTAGATTTTTAATCTCAGTCGGAAGGTATTCTCTGTTAGTTTTTAATAGAACTAAGGGCTCTGAAAATGACTGAAAAATTCGTGTTACATGTGTGCATCCGAATATTCCAAATTTAGTAAGATACTAGCATGGAAGCAATGTGGTTTTTGAATATGTGGCTCTTCAAGGGAATGCAAACAACTTCCCCTTTAGATACAGTAAAGGTTCATATGCCTATAACGAAACCGAGACTCACTTCATCCGCCTGGGAATCCTCGGCCAGGAATACGGTTTCGTAGAACTTCTCGTACTCGGATTTTGGCGGGAACGTTCGCTGCGCCTGGGCACCTATAGGTTTTTTTTCTACGCCAAGACTTCTGTTGCGATTGTTCTGGGCAATGCGCTTGCTCCTCGGTCCGATGATCACTTTCCGGGAATCTTGGGCCACCTCCTTGGCACTGGCGCTAGATCCACTCGTTCTCGACGGCATTGCGATGTGTTCCTCGTTGTCCTCCACTTGGTGACGCCAATTGTTTTTATTTTATTACGAAAATTGTCTTAAATTCTTTTGTAATATCCTCGCGTTTGTTTTCGTCACTAGAGGTGGAACAAACCACGATAATTACTCATTACTATCGATAGGAGCTTGAAAATGAGTTTCCAACACTGACACTTATCGATAGACTACCATAGATAAGTGGCAGCCCTGGATCGGGTTGGCGGGAAAATTTAAAAATTGTATATGGGAACAAAGAAAAATAGTCAAGAAATGTAATTATACATTATTAACAATTTTATTCCTAACAGAACAAGGATTTTTGCTTGTATTGACTAATATTTAAGGGATTCTTGGTTGGTGGAAATTCTATCGACTTCACTTATAAAGTGAGTTAGTTTTTGTACAATTTTGAGATTGGTTTAGTTTTCCGTGTTAGATACAACCCTTAAAAACATTAAAGGCTAGTTAATTTGAATCAATTGTTGGGGTTGCAATTGCTCCAGATGTTTTCCTATGTGGATTTCGCACGCACTTTTAGCTAATCAAGCTAGGTCAGCCGGCATTTGTATCTGCATCTGCAACTGGAAACAGCATCTGCATCTGCATCTGGGAACGAGCCCAAGGCAGAGCGGACGACAACAATCAGCGACAATTGCCCAAAGATTGCGGCTAATGGTTGGCCGACGCACGTCGTCGCATCAGACAGAAGGTGCCTGTGGGAGATTTTCGACCGGTTTTCGATGATTCTCCTGTCTTCCGACTCTTCCAGTCTTCACACGGAGAAAAATATCACCGAAAATCGGATAAACTCAGCACTTTAGAAGGACTATCTCCTAAGGGATACATTTCTTTATGGTAAAGGTATTCTTAAATAAAATAAATGCTGAAACCAATTAAACTAATATTTACTATGTGTACAATTTGAATTTCTGCAGAATTTGTAATTTATTGCAGATCAAAAATGTATTTTTTTTCTGCGTGGAGACTCCTGGCTCCTGCTCTTGGCCGGCTGCAAAATTTCGTGGCTCGTGCTCGGTGATTGCCAGCTGCTTGTGGCCAAAACTTATGGTTTAGCATTTAACCTGTCACTTAATCGAAAAAGCTGCCCTCTGCCATCCAGAAGTTTTTTAATGACTCTTGGCTCGTGCCGCAGCAGCTGCTGGAGCAAGAGGTTCCACTGGTTCCCCACTGTTAGATGTCCCAGATACGAAATATTACGAGGGCAATTTTGAAAGAATTTAACAACCTATCAAACACTCTTTTAAACACACTTTAGAATGTGTTTAAGCCGTTTTTGGTTTTATCGAACTACACCAGCATTATACTCTTTGTGATATGGATTTATGGAAAATAAAAAATATATTTTTTGCTGTAATCTAAAATTTATACAATTTCAAAGGCGAAAATAATAAAATGATATACAACTTTAAAAGCCTTTTAAAAAGGACATTGAAAAATAAATCGTTTTGACACATGAAAAAGGTGTTTTCAAGGAATGCAAAAAAGATGTTAGGTGTATTTAAGATATACTCCTTTAAGTATGAGTTTTCAACTACTTAAAAATATTAAATATAATGATAAAAGCTTATAAAGATTACTTTTCCCATACATAATGGATTTATTTTATAAGCCTATTCTTAATTTTACGGCCTGGAAACTTGTAACAATTTCCTCCAATGGGAAACTACAACTGGAACTGCAATTATGATGCCATGGACCATGGTTCCCCCTCAATCCCAATCCCATTCAGGCAGCAGCGCATAAACACGCTGATCCAACTGTCTTGTTGATCGTAGCTTTCCTCATTGTGTCGAGCCAACTTAATTGTTTCTTGTGGTTGCTGACATTGTTTCTTTTTTGCCATCCGTTTGGGAACCCCATCCCAGCCAAACAAAAAAAAACCGACAACTGTGGCCATGACTTTGTGCAACTGGCGACATCGGAGCCACTGTAAAGCACTTGGAAAAAAAATGAACACACATTCACAATTAACAAACATATTTAGAAATCTTAAAACAATATTTTCCTAAATTCATTTTATATTTAAGTAATAAAACATTTATAGATCATTTGAAAGTAGAAACTGTTAACCAATTCAGGAGACGGACAACATCCCATTTTCTCTAAGTGCAGAAACATTAACAACTTGCCGATGGCCCCTTGGCATCATTATGAGTCTGGCTCCGAAGTTGAGACTGGGCGAGACCTTATTTGTTTGGCGCATAATTTAAGTTAAAGCCCGTGCAAATGTCGCATTGTTGAATGTTGTCCGTTGCCTGTTGCATGTTGCATGCTGCCAGTTGCCCGTTCGCTTTTGCTGGCCTACGCGTTTTGTTGCATTGCCAAGGAAAAGACAATTAAATTAAATGAGGATTCATGGAATCATACAAAAGAACAGGTATAGTATCCTACTATATAACCTTCTTTATTTATGTTCAAAACCATTCTATGCAAATGTATTTAAAGAGTAACATTACAAAATATTGCTTGCTTTACGATCGCAAGATGTGTATGTTTTTTATTTTTATTTATGGTTTATTCAATACTTGAAGGTATATGTTTGTAAAAGTTCTAGTTCTTAAAGAGGAGATACCTATAATAATACTTTATTTAAAATTGTTTGTATTATTCATATAAAAAATTTGAGCGTTAGAAATTAAATTCCAACTTTCGGACATCTTAAGCTTCTTTAGGTTTCTTTTGGTGTACTGATGATATGGCCCAATCCGTTGGATGTGCCTGCTGGCGCTTGATTGCAGGTTGTCATGGGCTCGGCGCACTCGACGCGCATCCATTCAGTCAGGACTGACAGACGGCACAGATCCACAGATCCCCACATCCTATATGTAGGATCCCCAACGACCGGCGTGTCTCTCCAATTGCATTTATGTTGGCCATGTCCCTTTTTTTGACGTGGGTCGATGTCGGTCGGTTCTTACGTGAGTTTCCTCAACTGGTTTTCAGATCAGCGGGGTGGTGTGCCCACAATTTGCTGGATTGTATTATATTATTGCGTTTTCCATCTCTAAATCGGTTTCAGATCACGCTGACAACTCTGCTGGCGGTCGGGAGTTGCATCTGTACACCGAAAATATACAATCAATATATGAAAATGTGTTTAATTTCTAGTTCAGTTCTTGTATGCTTATATTATATCTTTTTTTCCAAATTGTATCAACCATTATTTTTTCTCTGTGTAGCAGCTCATAACTATATTGACACAAGTCTGGCCATAAAGAAACACAACTTATGCGAACGGTGTGCGGTGCGCCATGTGGGTGGGTGGTGCAGCCAGATAAGATATGTGCATATGCCTTCTAAACCGAACAAAATCTGCATAAATGTGCCACAGCTGAAGCCTTCCCAACGAGGCTTAAGTGTTATTTTTCGGCCTAAAGAAGTCGCCGAAAGTACAGACATACGTAGGTAAACTCGACGGGTTTCACAACAGTCAGATAGTAGTCATATTACTTTCACATCGCTAACTAACGATTTAAGATTTCTTTAAAAATACATATTTTAAGGTATTTAAAATACAATAATTCTTAACTAAACAAGTAATTAATTCATTAAGTGTATGTGTATATCAAAGAAGATTTGTTTATAACAAGATACTGTAGTGGGAGGTTAGATGTAAAACTAAGAAACTTGTTTAATTAGTAACTCAAGCGATTTTGATGTTATACTCCCTCCACTAAGATGAAGTTGTTTTTGAGATAGCAGCTACACCCAACCTTTTCTCATACGTAGACGTATCAATTAGGCGGACAAGCCCAACAAAATCTGTTAACTCCGTGGGCTGAGCTTAACCCAATTTAACCGACCATCTCATCGCGGCACAAAAGTTCTGGGAAGAAAGAAATAACAAATAATTTCCTATGGCTATCATTTGAATCTAACTGTGAACAACATTAAATGAGACTATGCCGCCTTAACATACAAAGCCTGGTTTAGAGATAAGCCAAGAAAGAAATGGGATTCTGGGAGGGAGAAGATCCCCAACAAATCAGTTTCGGTTAAATTTCTTGATGAACTGAATATATCCGACTTTGGGATACCTAAATTTATGGTTATAATTTAAAAGTTATAAGGATTTCGTAACATAAACTTGGTTGATTTTTATTTTGTTCTTAAATTAAGGTTATTTTGATAATTATAATTTGGGTCCATTTACTTTGAGAATATTTTAAGATCATCTCTAAGTAGACCCTATAAGGTGGGTAAAAACTAATTCGATTTGAGAAAAGTCAATTAAGCGTAGAACCCGCTTAAAGCACGCAACCAATAAGTCGGCTTATCAGAACGATTGAGCGTGCCCCAAACAGTTCGCGGCCATTGAAATTAATTACGTGTGTACACAGAACATAAATTTGAACCATTTTATTGTTGGTTTAAGGGATTTTAGAATTCCAGAAGATCAGAAATTTGTATACAATACGATACGATAGCCTAAAAATAAAAATTTTTTATATTGACATCTAGCTTGTAAAGATGCGCTGAAAAGTATGCAATATAAAAACCAATTTAGTTTTATTACATTTTTTTAAATGTTGATCGAAATCCCAAAAAATATTCTTTGCTATACTTTTTGTATCTTTCGGATTTGCCGGAGTTTCTTTATATATAGGACTTTTTTAGAGTGTGTTCGATTGGAGGGGGGGTTCTTGCGACTGGGGGAAACAGTAGCAGTAAAAAGTTTAATGAGCTGCGAAGAGGAAGAAAAACGGCAACAACACCAACCACAAAATCGACCGCAACAACAAATTCAACCAGAAGAAGTCAAAACAAAAACAGAACGATCGAAAAGCGCGTTTGTTTTGATTGTGCGACAAAGACAGTGCCTGAAAGAGAGACAGAGGAGAGAAGAAACCAAAGAGAAGAAAGAAAGAAAAACGATGGGAAACGCGACAACGGCTTTTAATTTAAAAAGTTGCTGGCACAGCATAAACCCATTAAACATACAAGGAGGGAAAGAGACGGAGCACCGACAAACAAACTGGTTTTACACTCCCACTCCACTCACACACACTCATATCTCCGAAGACTCTCGTTTGCGAGAAGACTCTCTTCTCCGCGAAGACAATCACGCGCTCTGCAACTCTTCTCTTTCCCAAGCTCTCTGGGTTTC